CTGAGCTCCTGCATCCCCAGAGCCCTTCCTGCATCCCCCAGAGCCCGTCCTGCATCCCCAGAGCCCTTCCTGCAGCCCCAGAGCCCTTCTTGAGCTCCTGCATCCCCCAGAGCCCTTCCTGCAGCCCCAGAGCCCGTCCTGCAGCCCCCAGAGCCCGTCCTGAGCTCCTGCATCTCCCAGAACCTTTCATGCTCCCCTGGCAGCCCCCAGCAACCCCTGGGGAAGAGCCTTTCCCTAAAATCCATCCCAATCCCCCGACGCAGCTCCAGAATTCCCTGTCCTGAGCAGTTCCTGCCCCTCCACCGTCCCCCAGGAGGAAATTCCCCTTTTTCTGGGAAGGGAATCCCTTCCACTGCCCCAGGCTGGCCTTGGACACTTCCAGGGCTCCAGGGGCAGCCCCAGCTCCTCTGGGAACCCCTCCCCACCGGGAATTCCTTCCCAATGTCCCATCCAAAGCCGCTCTCCTTCACCTTGGGGCGGTGAGCTGGAGGAAAGGGAGGAGAACCCAGAGCCGGGCATTCCACACCCCGTTAATCCCGTTCCAGAGCCCTAATCCCTGGATAAACGCAGGGCCAGTGCCCTCTCCCAGCCACCAGCCACCTCCATCCTCCCCTGGAGATCTGAGAACCCCAGCTCGCCCCTCCTGGCTCCAGAGGAGCTTCCCTGGGGATTCCTCCAGCATCTCCTCACCGCTCACCCATGCTGCCTGCACGGTTTGGCCTCTGGAACACACCAAAAAAACCAAACAAACCCCCAAAAAAAAACACCAAACCACAATAAAAGCAGGAAAATCCACCCAGCCCCGCATTCCTGGGCTTTTCCAGCGTCAAGGCACTCAGCAGCAGCTCCAGTGCCAGGCACAGACACCTCCAGGCCTGGGAGGAACTGGGGGATTTCCCTTTCTTTTCCCTTTCTTTTCCCATCCTTTTCCCATTCTCGGGTCACCCCCCTCATCAGCAGGGCTTGGAAAACCCCAAAACTCCCACAAAAGCAGCAGCAAAGAGGCCACAAACACAGGCTGGGTGATTTTAAACCCCACTGAAAGAAAAATACCTTTATTTGGGGGTGTTGAACTTTTAACAGAGAGAGTTCAGAGTTGAAGTTTCCCTCCAAGCACAGCTAAAGTTTATCAGGATTTTAAGACCAAACTCGAGAATCTGAAGGTTTTATTGAAAAATGGGTGGAGGGGAGGGAGAAATGCCCAGCTCGGATTGGGTGTTTTGCTCACAGGAAGCGCACAGGACGTTTCAAACCCCTCCAAAAGCTCGGTATTCCCACGGAAAGGACGGAAAGAGAGGGATGAACCTTCCCTGTGCTCAGCAGGAGCGTGGGGCTGTGATCCAGGGGTCTGTCCCCGTTTTCCAGAGGCAGGGACAGGGGATGGGCCATTCCCAGGGATGGGGAGGGAGCACAGCAATCCCTCGGCTGCATCCTGATCCCCAGGATCCCGTGGGATAACTCTTCCCCTCCAGCCAAGGAGCATCTCCGTGTTCCAGGCCTTGGCTGGCTGTTCACCTTCCCTCTGCTCCCAAATTCCACTTTTCCATGGACATTTCCTTCTCCATTCATTTCAGGCCTGTGGAATGTTCTGCCCTCAGGAACAGGGAGTTAATTCCATTCCCCTCCAAACAGAAAAACAGGGGAAAAAAGGGATTTTCCTCTGGGATTTCTGCATCCATCCCTCCCTCCCTGCTCCTTCCCTAGGGCTCCACCCTCATCTGGCCTGGCTGCATCCCGAGGGATTAAATCCTTCTTGTGGCATCATCTCCCAGAAATCTGATTACAAGGCTGCCCTTAACTCTCTAACGGGTTTTTTTTTCCCCACCACATGCCAGGAATTAAACCAGGAAACATCCCTGGCAGGCTGGAGAATCCCAAGCCATGGACATCCCAGAGGATTAGAAGGTTTTGAAGGCTTTGGGTTGGACACAGAGGGCTCCAAGCTTCCCAGAGCCTGCAGTGCGGGCGGGATTAGGGAGAGCAGTGGGAGATGCTCCAGCCCTGGGAATGGGATGCTGGAAGGGCTCCGGTTCCCGGCTGTGGCTGATCCCTTCCCTCTCCTGCCCTGGGATGCAGGGACAGCTCTCACCTTGGACAGGGAAGGGCCTGGCAGCCCCTGTTTATCCTGCTAAAGGCTCAATTCCCAAATTCCCGCCGTGCCTGGAGGGACCAGCTCGCACCTCCCAGGGATGCACGGCCAGGGTGGAACTGCCTTTCCTTGGCTTTTCCCCCTTTTCCCATCCCCAAGGGAGCTGCTCTCCCAGCCGAGGGGAAAGCCAGGAACAAGGAGGCTGGAGAAAGGAAAGGCAGCGGAGTGGAGGGAGGAGGAGCAAATCCGCGGATTTACGGCATGGAAACAACTCCGTGCAAACTCCATTTCCCATTTATTGAAAGCAATCACAGTTAAAAGGTCAAATCCATGGGCAAACAGGAGCTTTGGATCATCCAGGGGGACACAGAAAGGAAATCCAACGGAAAAACAAGGATCATACAAAAAGGGCCAGCCCCAGCTCAGTTTATTCCAACCCTTGGGCTCCGGCGGGACCAAAGGCGGATCCGGGATATCCCAGCCCCGCTTCCAGAGGGGCTGAGCAGCAGGAGGCAGCCAGGAGATCCAGTTATTCCCACGGGAGGGCTCAGGGAAGCCCTTGCTGCTGGAGATGGGAGCTGGGATTTGCAGCATCCTTCCAACCCCGGCAATTCCCTCCTGCCCGGGGGACTCGCTGCTCAGCCGGGATCAATCCTCAGCTCCCAGGAAGAGCCATTCCATGAGAAACTTGGGAAGCAGCGGGAGAAGGGGCAGAGAGCCCCGTGCGTGTTCCTGGCTCTCCGGGTGGGATAATTAATTCATCCCAAGGGATTCATTCGCTCATCCTGGAACGCTCCGGTGCTGGCTCGGCTCTTCCTGCGGGTGACCGGGATAACCCTGGCTTGGCTCTTCAGGGAATTCTGAGTCCCTTGGGAAGGCTGGAGAGCCCCACATGGAATTGCATCCAGGCAGGGCCCGTGTGGAGCCCCGTCACGTGCTGGAAAACGCTCCAATCCTCCTTTCCTGCTGGATTTTCCCCCAGAGAACACCCCGGATCATTGGACACTGCCCGCTGGAGACACGTTTAGGAAAAAAATGACATTTCCCTCTTGCAGAGATCCCAAGGAATTTCATCTTTATTTGCCTGGACTGTCTCCATCCATCCAAACCAATTCCCGAGGAGCAGCAGGACGTGGCAGAGCTGCGATCCCAAGCTTTGTCACCTTCTCCACACGGGACAGGGAATTCCCAAGCTCCGATCAAAACCCCGAGTGCCTTTCCTTGGAGAATCCAGCCCAGCTCCATCCAACACCGCTTCCAAGAGGAAAACCAAAGCAGGATCTGGGAGGACCCACCCACGTTTGCGCTCGCCAGGAACTCGGAGGGGAGGGGGAGATACAAAATCAGAGGGAATCAACACCAAACCAGATCCCAAAAAAATCTATGTACAGATCCAGTCCCGGGCCGAGGCGCGGCCGGTCCCAATCCCGCGGCACGCGGGGCTCTGACGGCTCCTGCGGGGAACGCGGCGCTGCCCTATCCCAGCCCCACATCCAGGGACATCATCACCACAAATCCCAGCATGGAGCTCCAGGACGCCAGCTTCCCGTTACCGCTGCAGGGAGAGAGGGGAGAGGGGAGTGCTGGAGGAGGGAACGCTGCTGTGTCCCACCCTGCCCCATTCCCGGGATTCACGGGACCCCTCGGCTCCATCCTGACCCTCCCAGGACCCCTCGGCTCCATCCTGACCCTCCCAGGACCCCCCAGCTCCATCCTGACCCTCATGGGACCCCTCAGCTCCATCCTGACCCTCCCAGGACCCCTCAGCTCCATCCTGACCCTCCCAGGACCCCTCAGCTCCATCCTGACCCTCCCAGCATCCCAAACCAAAGAGATAAAGGATTTGGTGTGATTTAGTGTGAATTCAGTAAAAGCTGTTCAATGTGCTTTGAACCACTGCTTATATTTATTTTTGATTTTGGTTTGGGCAGTCATGCGTTGTTTAATTGGTGGTTTTTGCTTTGTTGATGTATTTTTTGCTTTAAATTTAAATTAAAATTTAAAATTTTAATTTTAAACTAAAATTTAATATATTAAGTTTTATAATTTAATAAAAAAATTATGTGTTTTTTGCTTTTGCAAAAAACTTGGTGGGTTTATTTTGGCTTTGAGGCTTTCTTGATTTAATTGGTAAAAGTTTGAAGTGTCGTCTTACTCAGTTTGATGCCCCTTTGTCTGTCAGCAACTTTTTTGTTTCTTCTTCCTTCTTGTAACATTAGTTTTTTATTTATTTATTATTTCTAATTTATTATTATTTATTATTTATTGTATATTATTTATTATTCCTGATCAATTATTATACATTATACATAATACATATTATATTATATTATATTATATTATATTATATTATATTACATTACATTACATTACATTACATTACATTACATTACATTATATTATATTATATTATATTCTATTCTATTCTATTCTATTCTATTCTATTCTATTATATTATATTATATTATATTATATTATATTATATTATATTATTTGTGTATTATATATTATATATTATATATTACATATTATACATTATACATTATACATTATACATTATATGTCATATATTATATTTCATATATATTATATATTATATATTATATATTATACATTATATTTCATATATTATATTTATTATATGTTATATTTCATATATATTATATTTAATAAATTACATATTATTTATTCTTTATTATTTATTAATTTATTTCTTATTAATTTATTTCTTATTGATTTATTTTAACTTACAAAGATGATTTTATTCTTCAGTTTTAGAATGTTAGGCTGGCTCATTTACTCCATTTTTCCTGTAAATATTTTTACCCCAAACCCCATCTCCAGCCCCCGGACAACCTCCCCCTTCCCTGGAGGATTCCCAGCAGAGCCCATCTCCACGTCCCAGGCCGTTTACCTTCCCTCTGCTCCCAAATTCCCGTTCCCAGGGACACTGCTGGTTCCGGGGGTGGCAGGGGGGTCCCCCAGGAGCGGGGGTCTCACCTGGTGTGTGCCTCGGGGATGGGGGTCTCACCTGGTGTGTGCCTCGGGGATGGGGGTCTCACCTGGTGTGCACCTCGGGGACGGGGGTCTCACCTGGTGTGTGCCTCGGGGATGGGGGTCTCACCTGGTGTGCGCCTCTGGGAT